GTATTTTGGATAGCTTTGTATATCAGTCTATAGAGACTTATCTTATTCTTTTTAACAGTCAAATAGTATTTCATTATGTGGTTGTAACATAATTTATTTATCCAATCCCCTATTGATGGACGTTTGAACTGTTTCCAGTCTTTAAAAAAATAATTACAAACAGTCCTGTAATGAACATCCTTCGACATACATTTTTGCGAACATTTTTATAGGGTAAATCCTCAGAAGTGAAATTGCTGAGGTAAAGGTTATGCCCATTTCTAATTTTAATAGCTTACCAAATTATCCTCTAAATAGATATATTATCTACAGTGTATGAGAATCTTATTCTTCATATTCTCAACAAGTGGGTATTATCGTAAAAGAAATAATTGCTAAAATTAAGAGAGCATAATCTAAGTTTAATAATTTGAAGATATAGGAAGTGGATTTGGATCAATATCTATCTATATATCTAGGTAATAGATATATAGAATAACTTTCTAATGATTACTGCTTCTAAGGAACAGAAGGGATGTTTGAAGAATGTTCAGTTCCCCATCACTAAGAACAACAACTAACATCACGTTTATAGTTTAGGGAGTCTTTGACATAAATGATCTAATTTGATCTTCATGATACTTACACTCAGATGTAAGTGTTAATATCTTTTTTTATAAATGAGAAGATGGAGGCTCACTCTCAATGTCACTTAGTTAAGAGATGGAATTAGGGGGAAGTAATTCCAGAGTTTTCAACTCTTAATACTGTCTCTTTCCATTGTACCATGTAGAGATTGAAATAGTTATCTGCCAGTGGAGTTGAATTCTGATTTAATGAAGACACTGCCCGACTCTAAATTTCTTTGATTCTGTGCTAAGTTCAATATGAGAGTGGTTTGGAGAAGGGAAATGGAAGGTTATGAAATCTAACTAATGTGGTGGCAATAGTGATGCATAACAAGAGAAGACAGATATAAGGAACATAGAGAGCCAAGAGCCTAGGTAATGTGGGGTTTTTGAGCATGGGTTACTCATAGAAAAAAAGAGATATTGTAAGGAAAGTCAAGTATTACAGACAAACCAAGAACAATGAAAAGGGCATTTAATACGGTGATTAAAAAGTTCATGTTTACCTTAGAGCAATTAGTGTTGTGTCAAAGGCCTGTAAGATTCAAGGGTCAGTGAAAGGTGAGGAAATAAAAAGAGCATAGGTGTCTCCTTGGAGGAGTTTGGTGGTGTGGGAGAATGGGCAGTGTAATATAGATTGTCATGGTCAAGAAGGGATCTTTTTAGAGTAAGGGAGGCTTTGAACTTATTTGTTGGGAGACGAGAATAAGCCAGTGGAGAGGGAGAGATTAAA